CTCATAAAAGACATTATAGCCAACAAAGAAAAAGTGACAGATCTTCTTGACATCTCTTCATCTTTGCTGGATCCTAAACCTCCACCAAAATCTCTACCCAAGCTAGAAGATCAAGGGAAGTTCATATTGTCTTGCTACCTTGGTGATGTCAAAGTTGATGATGCTCTTGTGGATAGTGGAGCTTATGTGAATGTGATCTCATTGGAGATGGTGCAGAGCTTGAAGATCAAAGGCATGTAGCCAAACAACTCCTCCCTCATGTTTGGGGATTCTTCTTCAACAACACCTATTGCTCTCATCAAGAACTTCCCTTTGAAGATTGGAGATTGCACCATCTCCATAGACCTCATTGTTCTTGATATGGCAAGCAAGAGGAGAATGCCATTTCTCTTAGGCACGCCCTTCCTTGCTACTGTGGGAGCTTGCATAGACTTCCCAAACAAGAAGGTGGTTAGCCATAATGTCAACAAGGAAGTCTCCTATCCGATCAAGTCACCATTGCTGGAAGTTATTGTGGAACAATATTGAGAGATGCATTGGTTGTTAAGGAGGAAGAAGTTCTTGGTGAAAAGTCCTTACAGAAGAGTGATGTAGAGCACTTGGGAAATACTACCAAGGAGGAGATGAGTGAAGCCACTAAGGCCACTCAACGCAAGAAGAAGATGAAAGCTCCTCACTCCCCACTCTCACTCTTCACCCACTATAGCTAAAGGATGGAGCCATTGAGTATAAGAACAAGTGCAAGGGAAGGTCCAAGCCATTCTCCAGCGCCAGGGCCATTATCTCTCCTCAACTCCAAGCTGATCCACTCAAGCTCCAAGAGTTCTTTACACATGTCCTAACCATCACCCTTGAAGGTGGGAAGGATCCTCCTTCTCCATAGGTAAATAGAGATAGTCAAGCTAAGAGACTTTAAACAAGCTCACTTAGGAGGAATTTCCATGTTTATGTTTATATATATATTGCTGTTTTTTCTGTTGAGTAAGGTCAGGAACAAGTTTGGGTGTCTCCTCAATATGCCCAAAGGTCATGCTCAAACACCAATAACCACAGCACTTCTCATTCCCACTTGAGGTATCACTCCAACCATTCTTTTTATATACCATTGCTTTTATCATATTTTTGGTATCTCCTTCTCTCTTACTCACACAAAGACTGTTTGATTTAAGTTTGGGGGAGCTACCAAGTATTTGATCATGTTTTCTTTTTTGATTTTGAGTCTCATGAATTGCATTGTACATACATATATGCATAGAAAAATAAAAATAAAAAATTCAAAATTTTCCAAAAAGAAACAAAAACAAGCATTTAGGTTGCATCATTTGCATCTTTAGGATGGAGTTTAGAAGCATTTAAATTGCATTAATTCATTGGGAGCTGACCTAGTAAGGAAACACATGCTTAGAACTCAAAACTTCACCCTAGCTGATCAGAGCATTAGCTTAAGCATCTCTTGAAAAGCTTGCATTCTTTGAGCCTTGAAAACTCTTCTTGAAACTTGTTACTTATGTAAGATTGACATTCTCTTTAAACCAACTCCAAAAAGTATTTAAAAGCTAAATGAACTTAATTCTTCTTGCATATGCACTCTTGCATATGCACTCTTGAATGCTTGGTCATGGATTATACACATTTGGGTTTTACTTATCCTTTCTACCACTCTTTATAAAACCCAAATGGCACTCCCACACCTTTAAACCCTTACCATTCTTTGAAGCCTAAATATTTTGCTTGTGTGAGGTCTCTTTTGATAACTTGTCATGTGCAAAAAACTTGAGAGTATTAGGGGCGACATTGGTTGTTCTTATCTCAGGCTAGCTATAGAACCTCTTGAGAGCTAGCAATTAGGATGGAAAGTTTGGAATTGTGGTGCAAAAGAGTTTATCTTGGGTCTTGGGGTGTTAGATGAGTGAAAAGAATGAACCAAAGAAATAAAAAGAAAAAGAAAAGAAAACCACTAGGAATCAAAAAAAAAAAACTCTTAAAAACTCAAATAAAAAACCCCTTTGACTAAAGAAAAGAAAGAAAGAAAAGAGTCTAGAAAAGACTTTGGGGAAGACATAAGAAAATAAGAGTAGAGTTCATGTAAAAAGTGAAAGAAAAAGTCCCTAGTTGGTTCAAAAGAAAAGGAAAGAGAAAGAAATCATTGGGTGAGTGAAATAAGAGAGTGATCTTAATGTTTTTGAGGATTAATGGGTTTGAGATTTACATCAAGAAAAAGGGTAAAGTTTAAATATGTCTAGGAAAATGGTAGATTGATAAGAACAAGCAATGTATGCATAAGTTGCTCCTTTTCTTAGATAGATTTTGCATAATGATAAAGCTCATATTCTTGAGTGTAAGCCACTAAAAAGAAATGTATTGAAAAGCCATTTCACTTACCAAACCAAATGATTGAGATCAAGTTTCCATTTGCAAGACTTCATCTTATTGCTTATGCTTAATTGAATGTGAGGGTTGATTGAGGAGATTTGTTGATTGGTGATCCACAACTTGTTTATAGCAATGAGTCTTGATAGACCTTGAGAAGCTAGAGTGTACTAATTGAGATTGTTTATGCTATAGGTTATGTTTGTCTAGGATGTGGTGTTGAGTATAAGAAGTGTATCCATAGGTTTTAAGCTTCCATTATCATTTTCTCTCCCTTTAATCTTAATTAATTACTTGAGAAAAAGTAAAGACAAGTTTAGGGGAATTGATTTCCTGAGATTTTACACGATTTACTCATCAATTCCATCCACATTTCAATCATTCAAGCTACATTTAGAGCCCATTTAGGTGCATAGCATGTGCATGTGTGGTATTTCAGGTTTGGAAAAGCTTAGGTTGAAGTTTGGAAACTTGAGGAGCAAACATAGAGAAAGATGCAAAGAGGGGAGCCTTAACCGCGGGTCACAGGCGCTGGCAAGAGCCGTCCGTGGATTCAGGCCAATGAGCTTGATGGACCATCTCTGCGGACAGCTACCGCGGACCAATGCCAAGCCGCAGATTTCAACCCGAGAAGGACCCTAAAGATGGACCAACTCCGCGGATAGGTTCCGCGGCCAATGCCAGGCCGTGGATTCTCGCCCGAGAGGTCGATGTTTCAAGTGAATTTCGCGGACAGATCCCGCGGGCTGGAGCAGTCCGCAGATTCGAGGCCGAGTGATTCTAACATGAAATTTCCATTATTTTTTTATGTCCTTTTGGTCATTTTGTAGACAAAACCCTTGTGCTTCCAAATGCCATATAAATACTCTTGTAATCCCTTTTGGAAATTTTGTAGACAAAACCCTTGTAATCTTCTTTTCTCTCAAAAACACATTGAAAAATTGATTCCTTGATTAATATAATCTTTGTTTCTTGAGTAATTTTAATCTATCTTTTCTTCTAGTCATGATTAGTCTTTTATCCATCATGGGTTTAAGATTAAACATGAAGCTGAGTGAGTGTACTCTCTTTGAGCTTATGGGTTAGGGTGATTAGGGTGATTAAGTGATGATCTAGGGTGATTAGTGTTAGATCTTTCTTGTCCTATGCTTATTACTTATTCCCAATGCTAGATTAGACATAATCCTTCTAAACTAGATCATTAGGCATTTCGTGCCCACAAGGTGTATGATGAAATGCCTGAACCAAAGTAATAATGTTTTTTGCTTGTTTAACCTAGGACACTTCATGTTAGGAAGGCTTAGATGGTTAGTAGACTTGTTCTCAATGATTGCTTGATTGATTTAGACCAATGACCATTTGTGTTTACAGATTGATAGCAAATGAGATTTTACTTGACCAAAGACTAGCTTAGAATTGTGTCTAGGCCTATAGGATATGAATCATTGCTTGAAACCTCACCCTAGATAGTAACTTGATCACCCAAAGTCAATACCGTTATTCATATGCTCTTTTATCTCATTGAAACCAAATCTTAGTTATTCTTGTTTACATATTGCTTGTTACTAGTTACTTATAAAACAAACCCTCATTGATTGCATTTAGATTTAGCAATGTCTTGCATTCTCTTTGTTCAATAGCTCTCAGGATTGGATTGACACTCTATTTACCATACTACATTGATTTTCTCTAAGGCATATAAACCCTTATCAACACCTCTACTTAAAATGAATCATTAAGAATCTCTAAAGGCAACTTCAAATAAATGAGGTTTTACATGCTCCACAAACAATTTCAAACTTTAAAATTTGAAGTTTTGAATAGTGAAATTTTATATTTGAAGTGCTACGATACAAAATTTTATATTTGAAGTTCTTTCTTTTTAAGTCTTTACAAATATCTGTTTTTCAAATAATATTGTTAACTTCTATTTATATCATTTTAGTCATTATAATTTTTGTCTATCTTATACATTTTTTGAACTTTAAATCTTTATAATAATACTGTCAACTTTTATCTTTATCCTTTTAGTTTTTCTAATTTTATTATATTATATAATCTTATTTAATTTCATATACATTTTCAATTTTTATACTTTTCATTTTAGTCCTTAATTTAGAGATTTGGTTTTTAGTTTTACTTCTTTTTGTATAATTTTGAATTAGAATGTACTATTATATTGATTATATTAATTGTAAAATATTTATTATACATTTCTATTTTAATATAAAAGTATTGTGATTTTTTTAATTTTTAATAAATTTTTTAAGTTAGATTTGAAGTTATTATTTTGGAGATGCACACCCTCCACTTTAAATTTGAAGTTTTATCAACTTCAATAATGAAGTTGCTTTTGGAAATGCTCATGAATACTATGAACCCCACATGAAACAAATAGATCAGATATGATCTTTGGCACTTTCTGACCCTTTCGTATCTACTTAGACACTATTATGTTAAGCTTCTCTTTTTCACATTGCGTTATACCATTATAGACATAATATACACATACATTTACTCCACGCAGAGTCGTACTAGATGGTAGTTATTAGCACAAGATGATACATTACCATTTTCTTAATACTCCGTGATCAGTTCTCCGAAAGGAGCACGGTGTGGATCCCTTTCCTTCATTTTGCTATTCGTCGATTTACAGTCGAGAGAGGTGGTGTTGATGGCGTGAAACCATCATGAATCATTTCATCATTCTTCTTGAATCTTCCAATACTAGTAATACTGTTATGCGAATCAACAGAATCTGAAAGACTTGTAAAATCTTTTCTTTTCTTGCCAAAAGTCTTGAAGATTCCAGCGATCTAGTAAAAAAGTAACGATCCATGATATAAGTATTATGTCGTTGATAGAGTTATCTTAGTAATAGTCTTCTAAAATGGAACAAAATTGTCTCTAATGAATATTCAGATCTTGAAAACCATATAGAAGTAACGTATGAAATGGTTACTTAAGGTCGAAGCTTTTGATTGACTTGGAATTTCTCCCCTACTTTCTCGCGCCAACCCAAATGCTATTCTTTTTTCTTTAACTTATTGACCCCACATTTTCTCACCCACCCAATAAGAAAATCTATTTTCTTTCAAAGTTCTTTTCTCAGCTCCCATCAAACAAGGACTAAAGAATAAAAGACGGTCCAAATACAAAAGCAATATAAATAAAAAATAATCTTATTGAAGATAAGATAATAATTTATCCAACTAAGTTTATACTTATTTCACTTTGTAGCACTAAGTACGTTTTTCTTAGGCCGACTAGATCAGCTGATAGAATTTATCAAAAAAAAATATTTATGCTTATTTATATTCTCATAACCTAAAATATCCTTATGTTACAAAAAAGACCTAAAATAACCTTTGGCATTGGGTCTATTGACCCCAACAAGATAAGTTGATTTTCTCTCAAGTAACGTATATATATATATATATATATATATCTTTATTTATATTTCAGACCAAAAGTATTAGAAACTACAAATTGATTTTCTTGCATTTTTCAACTAAAGAAAGAATTTTTTTTACTTTCTCACATTTAATCAACCAGAAAACATCCAACTAACTCCTTCAAGGATTAAGATCAAAGACATTAAACTCTGACGGCGTTGCTCACCCATCTTCAATGTAATTTTTATTTTCAACTCTTGCCATAGCATAAAATGCTTTTTGGGGTTACCTTGCAGCCAAGAGAACAGAATCTGAAGGAATCGACAAGGCTGCGATAACAGACTTCACATGTATTGACAACACCTTTGCCCGATCGAGGCTGAGGTCTCTCGTTCAAGAACACAACCTTAGCACTGTTAATCACGTATGTCTGAACCCCTGTTATGTCCAGAAATTTCTGAATCTCCGACAACCTTATAACATTGTGATACGACGATCTCCTTATCTGTAATTTAATCAAAACACAAAAGGTAAGAAGAAATAAATGAAGTAAGAGGTAGATTACCAACCAAACTAACACAAAGCATCAAGATGCTTTGTTTTTTCTCTTTTGTTCTCAGGAAGAAGATAATTTTTTTTATGAAAGAATGTAAACAAGAGTCAGATAATAAATACGAACCTGAATAGCATGATGATCCTTGTGGGAAGAGAGGCAGAGAGAACAGAGAGGACCATTGGTACAGTTTAAACAATACATGTTACACTCACTCTTGTGTGACTTTGCGTTGCTTGAAGAATTTTTCTCGAAGCAGAGGTTTAAGCCATGGAGGCCACCTCTTGTTGTTTTCTTCCTCAGTTCCCTGCGATCAAAATAATCTCAAGAGGATAAGAATCAAACAAAACAGAAAATGTTCGACCTAAAAAACAAAACAGAAAATGAAACATAGTCGATTGATAACTGTTCTTGTCGGAACAGAGTATGGTTTTAAGAGAATCAGTTTGAGGAAAGAAGATTCGAATTCTTAGACAACCCGTCTGGGAAAAAAAAGAAAGATTGATCAAAGCTGATAAAAGGAGAGGTCTTTGTTGGAATTTGAATACGTCTCTGAAGTACAGATAAACCGAGCATTTATAACCAAACTGAAGAGAACCCATTACAAACTGAAACCTTTCTTCTATTCATGGATTGTTATTGTTATTACCATGATGATTCCTTTGCTCGTGGGTCTGATTTCACTGACTACAGCTAGTTGATTCTCTTCGATCGCAAGTTTTCAGAAGAGAGAGAGAGATGCGCGTGTGAAAACAAGAACGAAGAGGCGTTCTTATCCGTACAAAAGTCGAATACTCCCGAACCTAAAACCAAACCTCAAAACCCGAAGCTGAGATATTGCTTTGCTGCGGAGGGTTCAATGAACGGGACCCACCCTCCCACTTTCCTTCTCTCTCCTTTTTTTTCCTTTGAATGTGATGGGGGACTTTTTCAAAATATCCATCCACTTCACTTCAAGACTTGTTCGAGATAAAGATTAACCAAGAGAAAAAAAGAACAGTTTTAGATCGTTGTTAATGGAATAGTAACGTACTTATTATTGGTATGATTGAAGTATTGAATACGGTTTACTTGTACATTTCTTTAGTTTTCTTAAACCGGTTTGTCCCGGGTTCATTGTATAAGTGTATATAGTGTGAGCGATGGACACTTTTCTAAATAACAGAAATATTTTCATTTGTCTTCTCTCTCTATTTGTCGTCTTGTGTCTCTGTCCTTCATGAACGACGTGAGAAGAAGCTCCATTCCTGTTCACCTATAAACTACTAATATGGTATCAGAGCGTTGAGTTAAAACTCAACATCGATCCATTCTCTTTCTTTTGAGATCCATTTTCCATATTTTTGGACCTCTGTTTCTTCATCTTCTCCGTTTGCTGTTCCATTGGTGGTCTCTCTTCGTCGGAACCGCCGTGGTCGTTTTACACGTGCAAGCAGCTCTAATAACCCTCCTGGCCGCTCCGCTTCTCCTTTCGAAGCCGTTGTAGCTCCGTCACCACAGCGTTTTCCGTTTTCTCCTTCCGCCGTCATGAACCCCGACAGCATCCACTCGCCGCTGTTCTTCATAGTGCCAACCATCCAGGGATGATGATTGTCTCTATTCAACTGGATGGGTCGAACTACACACAGTGGTGTTCAGCGATGAAAATCGCTCTCGAAGCGAAGAAAAAAATCGTCTTTGTTGATGGATCTTATCCTCGACCTGACTCAAGTAATCACCTTTTCCGGATCTGGTCTCGTTGTAACAGCATGGTTAAATCCTGGCTTCTTAACTCGGTGTCTAAGCAGATCTATGGTAGAATTTTGTCTTTCGATGATGCCAAGGAAATTGGATTGATTTGCACAACCGTTTTCACAAGACAAACCTACCACGCACCTTCCAGTTGGTTCAGCAGATTCAAGACCTTCGGCAAGGCTCCTTGGATCTGTCAGGTTACTACACTGCTCTCAAAACCCTTTGGGACAATCTTGATAGTACAGAACCTCCGGAATCATGTCTCTGCTGTAACACCTCAGGTTGTCTCAGTCAGCGTGCTGCTAAAGCAAAGGTTGATAGAGGACGCACCATCAAGTTTCTGGCTGGCCTTAATGAGAAATACTCAATCATTCGCAGTCAAATCATCATGCGTAAGCCTCTCCCTGACCTTGCTGAAATCTGCAATATTCTGGACCAAGATGATAGCCAGCGTCAGTTTAACTATGTGGTCTCCCCAAACACGTTTCTTGTGAGCCAAGATTCTCACTCAACAACTCAGTCTGCTACGGTTGCTGGTGATAACAACCCATCCCCAAAAGGAGCGTTAAACGCTTTTCAGAAAAAGACTGGATCGACATGCTCTCACTGTGGCAACACAGGTCATGTGGTTGATTGCTGTTACAAGTTACACGGTTACCCTGTTGGATGGAAGAAAGGTGGTAAATGGAACAATGACAAGGGATCTCAGTCGAAGCCTCAGCATCAAGACCCCTCTGGTATTTCTTTCTCGTCCTCAACATTCAGTTTTGTTGGGATTCTAAGTGTCACTCAATATGTTACTGATCTTCACACATGGATCGTTGATTCCGGTGCTACTCACCATGTCTCTCATGATCGTAATGCCTTTGTTGATATTGACACTTCTGTTCAGCATTCTGTCAACTTTCCTAATGGTTCTACACTCAAAGTTAGTGGAATTGGTCAGATTGTTATCAGTGATGCTTTGACTCTTCAGAACGTTTTATACATTCCGGAGTTTCGACTCAATCTATTGAGTGTCAGTTCTTTGACGTCTGATATTGGAGCTGAAGTACTGTTTGCTTCTGGTTGTTTCCGTATACAGGATCCTATCAAGGGATCGATGATTGGGAGCGGTAGAAGAATAGCAAACCTCTATGTCTTGGATGTGAGTAGCTCAAGTCTGCATGTTCAAGACTCTGCTTCTTCTTTTGTTCATTCTGTTGTCGATGCATCTGTTTGGCATCAGCGTTTTGGCCATAGTTCTTTTGAAAGACTCGAACTTCTTTGTGATGTACTTGGATTTTCTAAAGCCAAGAATAAGGGATTAATACATTGTGATATCTGCCAACGTTCTAAACAAAAGAAGTTATCTTATTCTTTGCACCCTAAAATTTGCTCAACTCCATTTGAATTACTTCACATCGACGTATGGGGACCGTTCTCTGAAACAACACATGATGGTCATCGATATTTTCTTACAATCGTAGATGATCATACACGTTCTACATGGGTTTATCTCGTCAAGCTCAAGAGTGATGTTCTCACGGTTTTCCCAGAGTTTATACAGATGGTAGAAAGGCAGTATGATGCAAAGATCAAATCTGTTCGTTCTGACAACGCACCAGAACTGCGGTTTGATGCTCTCTACAAGGCTAAAGGAATCATTCCATACCACTCTTGCCCAGAAACCCCGGAGCAAAACTCAGTTGTTGAACGCAAACATCAGCATCTTCTCAACGTTGCTCGAGCACTCTTGTTTCAATATGGAGTTCCTTTAAGTCATTGGGGGGACTGTGTGCTTACTGCTGTGTTTCTGATTAATCGCACTCCGTCACCAGTTATCTCCAACAAGACTCCCTTTGAGAAACTCACTGGCAAACTTCCTGATTACTCCAACTTCAAAACCTTTGGTTGTTTATGCTATGCAAGCACTTCTCCAAAGGGGCGTCACAAGTTTCAGGATCGTGCTCGTGCTTGCGTGTTCTTGGGGTATCCCTCTGGATACAAGGGTTACAAATTAATGGACATAAAAAGCCATGAAATTTTCATATCACGCAATGTGATCTTCTATGAAACTTTGTTTCCATTTCTTCAATCTTCTCCAGATTCAGAGTGTGATGATTTTTTCCCCATGTTCATCGTGGTTTAGCTCCACCTAACTCTGTTCCCACTACTACTGAGGCAACAGTTAATTCTCCAGGAACTTCAACTCTACCTCCCTTAAGTCGCAGAATCGAAACCTCCTCAACATCTTCAAGACTATCACTGCTACTCTGTTAATTCTTCTACGGAGCATCTTATGTCTAATGCGATATCTTATGCAGCTCTATCTGATCCGTATCTGATCTTTATCAATGCTTTAAATAGCATTCCAGAACCGACTTATTTTGCTCAGGCTTGCAAGATCAAAGAATGGTTGGATGCTATGGACATAGAAATTACTGCTCTTGAAGAAAATGGTACCTGGATTGTATGTTCTCTGCCTGCTGGTAAGAAAGCTGTGGGATGTAAATGGGTTTACAAGGTGAAGCTCAACGCTGATGGAACTTTGGAGCGTTACAAAGCTAGGCTTGTTGCCAAAGGGTACACACAACAAGAAGGATTAGATTATGTTGAAACATTCTCTCATGTTGCAAAGTTAGCTACTGTTAAGTTACTTCTTGCGGTTGCAGCAGCTAAGGGATAGTCTCTTTCTCAGTTAGACATCTCGAATGCTTTTCTTAATGGAGATCTGGAAGAGGAAATCTACATGACTCTACCATCTGGATACTCTGGAAGACAGGGGGAATATTTCCCACCTAATGCTGTTTGCAAGTTAAAAAAATCGCTTTACGGTTTAAAGCAAGCCTCTCGCCAATGGTTTTTAAAATTCTCCAAAGCTCTTCATGACTTGGGTCTCAAGACTTCCTCAGGGGACCATACTTTGTTTCTCAAGAACTCTGGATCAGTGTACATGGCAGTGCTTGTTTACGTCGATGACATCATAATTGCTAGCATTTGTGACCAAGCCACTGAATTACTCAAAGCTGCTCTTCAAGCTTCTTTCAAACTTCGCAATTTGGGAAATTTACGCTACTTTCTTGGTTTAGAAGTGGCAAGATCTTCCGCTGGTATCTCTATTTGCCAACGCAAATACATACTAGACTTACTCAATGAGACATGACTACTTGGATGTAAGCCATCATCTATACCGATGGATCCTAGCATCAAGTTATCTATTGAAGTTGGAGAACTTTTGGAAGATGCAGAGCAATATAGACGTCTTGTTGGGAAGCTGTTATATTTAACATTTACTCAACCAGACATAACTTTTGCCGTACACAAGTTGTGTCAGTTCACCTCCACCCCAAGGCGTCCTCATCTACAAGCTGCTTATAAGATTCTCCACTACCTGAAAGGAACTATTGGCCGGGGTCTCTTCTATTCATCTGTCTCAGACCTAAAGTTATCTGCTTTTGCAGACGCAGATTGGGGATCATGCCCTGACT